ACCCAGAACCTACTAGAGGGCCCTTGTGGTTTATTTTTTAGGGCAGGACTCTTGTGTCCTTCGTTAACTTAGAATTGCATGAGAATTACAGCAGCAGCCAGTGGTAGCGAGGACATGTTTATATTCCTATGGCGTGACAGCTGGCCAGGCAGCCTGGGAGCTTTCTCTGGGCACCTGGCCCACCCTCGTCAGAGCTGAGGACCTTCTCCCACCTGGAACAGTCATAGATGCCTTCAGCTGTCACTCTAGGCCCTAGAGGAATTAAATGATGTTAAACTCACCTGTTTAGAAGGCAATGATGTTTCTTACTCAATAGTTTCAATCCTCAAAAGTGGTGTGGCCCTTATGTTAAACACATTGTTTCTCGATGCTACTGGACTCTCGGGGTCCTTACAGATGGGCTGTGTTCCAAATGTCCAATTTGTGCCTTCCTGAGTCTGCCTGTAGAGACGGTCTGTGTCCCACTGAGAAGTCTGTAAGGGCCACGTCTGAATTCTTGATCTCCACTCCCTGCTACACCTGCCTCTCCTCTCTAGTTTTCCTCACCTCGGAAAACACATCCCACTTAGAAACACATCCCACTTAGAAACTTTCCAGACTTGTCCTTCTCCCTCTGATGACAAGATCAAATGAGCAAACGCTCTTGTATTAGTCAGGGTTCTCCAGAGAGACAGAACCACTAGGATATGTATATAATATATGAGAGGGGATTTATTAGGGGAATTGGCTCATACGATTGTGAGGGCTGAGTGGTCCCATGATAGGCCATCTCTAAACTGGATGCCGGTAGCATGGCTCAGTCCAATCTGGAAGCCTCAGAACCAGGTAGGTTGATGATGTGATTCTCATTCTGAGGCCTAAAGGCCTGAGAGCCAGGGGTGCCGCTGTTGTAAGTCCTAGAACCCAAAGGCTGAAGAGTCTCGAGTTCAGATGTCCATAGACAGGAGTGAAGAGTGGATCTCAGCTCTAGTGGAAATAGAGTGAGAGATTCGCCTTTTCCTCTGTTTTTGTTCTCTCTGGGTCCCCAACAGATTGGACGGTGCCCACCCATATTGAAGGCAAGATCTTTCCCACCCATTCCACTCAGGCTCACAATCTGATTTCTTCTGGAAACACCCTCACAGACATACCCCAAAATAATGCTTTATCAGGTTTCTAGGTATTTTTTAACCTAGTCAAATTGACACCTAAAATTAACCATCACAGCCATCAGTGCTGCCTCCAAAATGTATTTCCCATCTGACCACTTCTCTGTATTTCAGCGGACACTCTTGAGACCAGTCTCCAGTGCCCCTCAGTGGGACAGCTGCAGGACCCCCTGCTGTGGCCCCTTCCACAGTCCTCTCCACCAGTTTCGTTCTGTTCCTCTTTGTCCATGGCTTCTTGCTATTTTCCTGCAAAGCTCTTATCATGATTTGTAATTTTATGCTTACTTATTATTTTCAAATTAATTTAATATTGAATACATACAAAAGAATATTGGAGTCATAGGTGTATGGTATAATGAGAGGAGAAGCAGTCAGATGAGCTGTGTACCCATCTGTTTAAAAGCAGAGCATTACCAGTAGTTTCTGTGCTTGTGTGTGCCCCTCCCCAGTCTGTCTCCTTTCCCCTTTCGAGAGATCTTGCTCGATAAAGTGGTATTCCCTGCTGGCAACATGACTGCAATAGGAATTCGCCTGGTATGCACTCTGAGTGCAGTGCAGGTGGCTGAGATGGATTGCTCATTTTATACCTGAGCAAACATGGACTGTGGGCTCTGTGTGGAAGCCAGAGTGTCTATAGGCACAGAGATCTTGCCTCACAAGAACACAGGAGGTCACAGCACGGCACTTAGGCAAAGGCTCGGATCCCTATTTCTGAGAGAAGGTCACGTAAGGGAGGAGCTGGCGGAAGACTTAGCCTGGGGTGCCTGTGTGTGTGTCTGAGTTGGAATCAGACGCATGGGGCTGCAGTGACGGTCTGCTAATCGTGTTTGTGTTTTGTTTGAACAGCTACAGTTCTCCTTGGATCCGGAGCCTGTTGCTATCAACTGCACAGCCTTCAATCACAACGGGAACCTGCTGGTCACAGGGGCGGCCGACGGTGTCATCCGGCTGTTTGGTATGCAAAGTGTGCTTGTGACAATCCTGGTCCCCTCCTTAGGTGTCCCAGAGAAGAGAGTGGGATTTTTTGCTAGTGGGACCAGAGGTTGCTGCAAAACCCCGATTTCAGATGTGTGTGCTAGAGCTTAACTTTGGCCAGAGATTCCCAAACACTCACTGTAATCAGTGTGCACATGGGTTGTGTTGGTAGATGCGCGAGGGGTGGGGCTCAGTGGGCGTTTACCTTGAGCTTGTCCATGAACTCATCCTGAGTCCTCAGCACCTGTGGGAGCCAGCAGGACACGTGAGGGTGACACCATCCTGTCCACTGGCTTCGGGTGGTTCATTCTCCTCATGAAAGCATCAGAACAGTGCTGCTTAACTAGGGGCGTGTGTCCGAATCAGCTGGCTTGCTGTTTACTAATCCCCAGGAGACATCCCCAGGGTCCAGGATGGGACTAGGTGACTGTGTCTTTAATAGATCCCCAGGGTGCCCTAGGGGGAAGTCACGGATGAGCCCCAGCTTCCCCTAGGGATTCCCAAACCTCACTTGTGACCCATTGAAAGAAGCTACTTCTGTAGCCCAGAGGCAGCCTGGCCTCTTGGGCAGGGGTCAGCTCTGTGACACCTGTTGGGACCAGGAGGCCCTGGGCATCTGGAACAGCTGTCACCCTGAACAGAGGGCAAGAGGGGCTCCTGCTGGGGGCATTGCCCCCCATGGTGCCAGGCTGGGGACTGAGCGGCATCTCCTTGCCTCAGACATGCAGCAGCACCAGTGTGCCATGAGCTGGAGGGCGCACCGCGGTGAGGTCTACTCTGTGGAGTTCAGCTATGATGAGAACGCTGTGTACAGCATCGGCGAGGATGGCAAGGTGGGCACCTTCCGGATGCAGGGCAGAGGGCGGTGCAAGAACTTGCTGGGCTGGGTTCAGATCCTGACCGTGCTGTTGGCTAGCTCTGAGACCGTGGGCTGCTCTGTGTGCCTTGGTTTTGTCTTCTGTAAAACAGAGATGAAGCAGTCGTCCGTCTCAGAGCACCTTTGAGTATTGAGTGAGTTCAGCAGGAGTTGGCTAATCCTTGTGAAAGGGAATACCAGGTCCTGCCTCCTATTGTAGCAAAAGGGACTCATCTTGGTGTGGATGGGTCCATGGGGTCTGGATTTGGGGCAAGGATATGTCTTAGTGAACGTGGTAATTGGCTGGTCACAGCACAGATTCATAGTTTGCTGAGGGGTTGGGGATAGCTCCCCAGAGGCATACAGGCCTGAACAGAGTCCAATGATGTCAAAAGGAAGTCAGGAAAAAAAAAAGTAAAAGTAAATGCTGCTTGGAGAGTCCCTCTGTGGAACAGTGACTGCCTT